AAGAAAAAGATCTCTGGTCATAACTTTCTCGATTTAAGTCAAGAAAAACTTGAAGAGTATGGCTTGCAACCAGGACCAGCAGACACAATAGCAAAGTTGGCCAAAAAAATCAAGGGCGAAGGGCAGAGTAAGTAGTGACTTGGATGGAATAAATTATTGTAAGCAAAGATATGAAAGCAAAGAATATGAACATGAGAAAATTTACACAATAACTCAAAAGGACTATGATTTTGCTCATACAGTTTGGAAAGAAACTGCTTGTAAAACCTTTGGTAATTATCACGATATTTACCTCAAAACAGATATTCTTATATTAGCAGATGCATTTGAGGCATTCTGAAAAGCTTCATATGAGGCATTCAAATTAGATCTGGCAAATTATCTAATAGCTCCAGAGTTGGTGTAGAATGCGTGTATAAAGGTAACTAAAGTAAAATTAGAACTATTTTATAAACATCAAGGAGATATGTATGATTTCTTTACAGCAATGAAAAGAGGTAGAATGTCATTAGCTAGAAGGTGTATAGCTAGAGCAAATATTCCTAAACTAGAAGAATATAACAGGAAAAAAGCAAAAAAATAGTTACTCTACTTAGATGCTAATAATCTATATGATTGGGCAATATCCCAATATTTACCAACTGGTAGATTTAAATAGCTATCTACTCATTCACTAGAAGCACTCATTTATTAGTGCAGAAAATTTTAAGATTAAAAGAAAAATCAAATTAAGGATATTGTTTAGAGGTTAAGTTATTAATTCCAAAAGAATTATATCCAAAGTTTCAGAACTATCCTATATGTTCAGAATGAATAAAAGTACCATATGATTGGTATAGTTCAAAACAAAAAGAATGGTTAAGGAAGCAACGTTCAGATACAGAAAAACTTATACTAACTCTCTATAATAAAGATCATTATGTTATTCATTATAGAAATCTACAACAATGTATAAAAGAAGGATATGTTCTTGAAAAAGTATATCGAATTCTAGGTTTCGAACAATCACCATGGTTAGAACCATACATTATAATAAATACTCAACGATATGCAAAAGCAAAGAATGCCTTTGAAAAAAATTTCTAGAAATTGATAAACAACTCAGTTTTCAGAAAAACTATGGAAGATGTTAGAAAATAGGTAAATATTGATTTAGTTAGGCAAGTAGGAGAAGAATGTAGATTACAAAGACTAATTTCAGATCTAGCATTTGTTAGTTGAAAAATTTTCTATAGGGCAAACTTAGTAGCTGTGTATTGAAGACAGACTAATGTAAAACTAAATAAGCCAGAATATGTAGAGGCGTATATTCTTGATTTTTCCAAATACTTTATGTATGACTTCTGGTATGGTCATCTCAAAAAGAAATATGGGGATCAAGTAGGGCTTTTATATACAGATACAGATTCTTTAATTATAGAAATTGAAACCGAAAATATTTATCAAGACATAATCGATGATTGTGATTTATTTGATTTTAGTGACTATTCAGAAGATCATTGGGTAGTAAAAAATCTTCCAGAAGATCAGTGGATAATCAATAAAAGTAAACGTGTCTTAAAAAATACAAAAGTTATAGGTAAGTAAAAGGATGAAAATGGAGAAAATCATGCTATTAGCTATGCTGGAGTTAGCACAAAATGCTATAGTATTATATGTAAAAATTTATGAAAAAATATGATAAAAGCAAAGAGTCTTAAAAAAGCTCTTATCAAGAAAGAACTCATTCATAAAATATTTGAAGACTGTATTTTAGCGGAAAAAGAGGATCAACTACGAACCATACAATTTCTCTGAAGTTACAGGCATCAAAGTATAGAATAAAGCAAACAAAGAGGAGCATTAACTCATTAGATATGAAATTGTGAATAGCTCGTGATATAGAAATAATATATTTATATAGTGATTGTGAAATTCTAGAAGAATAAATATAGTTTTGCTTCATAACATTATAATATATCTATCCACTATGTGACCACTTTTGACAATAATATATATATAATTTTTTACTTAAGCAATTATTAGCAAAAATAAAAATAAGATCAAGCAATTCCTCACTATACTAAATAATTCATGAATGAACAGATCACCAAATCTGAAATGAGATTTCATAAAATCTGCAAATTGGTTTGTTAATACAGAAATATATTATAAAACAGAATAAATGAATAATAAATTTCAAAGACTTATCTAGTTAAAGTTCGGGTAAATATATTGATTTAGATATTATATTCATTTATTTTTAAGCTATCAAATAATTCTGAGTAGTAAAAAAATAATATATAGTCAGATAAGTATAAAATGATAAAAAAAATTTTTATTATTAACCAACTCATCATAACCCATACTATGAGTAACAAACTACTTAGTGAAGAAGAACTTATTAAAAAATACCTCAAATGAACAGAATTATTAAAAGCCTTAGGAATAAATATCTTAAAAGGTCATCCAAACTTTCTCACAAGTAATATCACAATACCAGAGCTAGAGAATTGTCATGAATGTAATAAAGAAATTTTGTTAAATCCACTCAAAGCATTTACCATACTCGTGTGTAGTCATATACTTCATCATAACTGTCTTGAAAAAAGTAATAGAGATAAGCAAAAAACTTGTCCTATTTGTTTTGTAGATAATGAAGGAATGGCATCAGCTGAAGTTCAGAACGAAGATATGTCAGAAGCAGTAGAAGATGAAGGTGAAGAAACCTCTAATCTAACAGAGACAATAAGTAAGTTATCCGTAGATAGTGGTAAAACTATCTCACAAAGTGAAACAAAATCCATAGAACCTGATAAAGTACAAGGTTTAATAAAAGAACTATCTATGCCAAGTGAGCTAATTGATGATAATGATAGAGGAAATAAGAGCAAAGAATCAAAACCAATAACTTTACTCCAGTTATACTATAATGCAAACCGAGCAAAAAAACGTGTAACCTGTGCCTATCAAGAAGAAATAAGATGCTGGTATCTGTTTGCTAAAAAATTTAAAGAAAGAGTTAAAGAAATAAAAAATGATAACAGTAGGTACAATGACCAACAAGCTAGAGGGTTAGTATATAGCGAAGTCACAACCAATCTTCTGGGATTTACAAGAGATAGTTTGTATAAAAAAACTGCAAAGGCTAGAAATATCTACAAGTTGTTTGGAGAAAGTTATGACCCCGATACCAAAAAAATAGTT